AACTCAGTAAGGAAACTCTGATTCAGAAGGGCAGTGAATACACCCCCACCCTGCTAATCAGCTCAGCAGAGTGATTGTGCCGTAGGCACTGTGCTGCTAAATCTCAGCTCTCCCTGGAGATGTTGCAGTGCTGAGGGACCCCCTAGGGGACATTCACAGGGCAGCTGGGCCCTTGAGATAGGGAGGCTGTCCACTTCCTCCAGGGCCAAAGTGCCGGCTTAGTAGAAGAATGAGGTTTCCCCAAGGGGTTGGAAGAGCAGAGCTAAAGACTCAGCCCCTTGGGTGGCGGGGGCAAGTCATGTGACAGCACCCTTCCGTCACAGGACCCAGGTCATGCTCCTACATTGCCCCAGTGCTGGCATGCTGCCCGGGATAGTGGAGAAAGCTCCCTCCCCGTAAGCCAGCCCGCTGCTCACCCCGGGTGGGTGGAGTACCCACAGCGCTGCCAGTGTGGTTTCCGAGAGATCAGGGCTGATGCACCATGAGCAGCCAGCTCCCCCTTGCAGTTGAATTCTCACAAAGTTAAAACCATCGTAGAGTCACTGAGATTCTTTTAACTGCTGCAGCTGTCGTGGGTGCAGAGATGGTGTCTTTGACAAGCTGGGATTTCCTCTGGGAACAAAAGTTAATCAGGATGACTTTGAAGGAGGTCCATCACCGGTACTTAGCTATAGAATTAACAAAAGGCTATTTGCTTGTTCCTCCACCGTTCACAGCACATTTCAAAGAGAGATGAATACCGAGATATCCTGTAAAAAGAAAAGGAGGACTTGTGGCACCTTAGAGACTAACCAATTTATTTGAGCATGAGCTTTCGTGAGCTACAGCTCACTTCATCGGATGCATACCGTGGAAACTGCCTGTACAAGTTTTTTCATGCAGTTGATAGATTTCCACTCCATACGGCTAAATGCACTGCCTTGCAAAATGACAGGTTTCAGAGTAACAGCCGTGTTAGTCTGCATTCGCAAAAAGAAAAGAAGTACTTGTGGCACCTTAGAGACTAACCAATTTATTTGAGCATGAGCTTTCGTGAGCTACAGCTCACTTCATCGGATGCATATCCTGTGTTTACAATTCATTTACATGATATCAGAATACAGCATAGACAGGGACTGTAGATTACATTGTCGACCGGACTCATACATATGTAAAACACAAAACCACAAACATTATCTTCCTACATGTCTTTTGAGGGTTATTTATTTTTCAGGATGTTTAACCCTTTCTAGCCATGCGTCACAACTCCATCACAGAAAAACAAGGCACAGCTTTGGGGGAGGTTTCTGAAGTTTGGTTAATGGGGGTGTGACAGAGGCTGGCCTTGGAGGCATGGACTCTTCAAAGACTATTACAGTGAGATGTGCCAGATGCGATGCATGCACGGGAATTCGTAGACTTATGTACCAAGGAGTGGGGTGTGCTCCTGGCTCACTGGGTGGGTTTCCAGTGGAAGCTGGAATCATGGGGGAGGTAATTATTGCAAATTCCTAATGCCCGGTCTGCAGATATTCATCCCTTTGAAGCTTCACCCCCTGTGGCTAGGGGCATTGACTGGTTTTACCTGGGTCAGGAGGTCAGGGAGACAGAGGCCCCCAAACTGTATAAAGGTCAACCTGATCTGACTCACATCAGTCTCTCTCTGGAACAAAGAACTGGCAAACATGTGTACGGACCTGCCAGGAACCCATGTGAATGATCGGTGACACCAGGTAAGCTTAGAATCACAGACCCACAGGATTAAAAGGGACTGTAAGCGTCAGCTAGTATCCCGCCCTCCACGATGCAGGATTTGTTGTGTAAACTATCTTGGACAGGTGGCTCCAGCCTCCTTTTGAAACCTCCAGTGAAGGAGCTTCCACAACCTCCTTAGGCCTCTGTTGCATTGTCCTACCGCTCTTACAGCTAGCAAGTTTTCCCTGAGGTAAATCTGCTAAATTGCTCTGCTGTAGTTTGAACCAATTGCCTCTTGTCCTGCCTCTGTGGCAAGAGAGAACAACTTTTCTCCATCTTTTTTATGGCAGCCTTTCAAGTATTTGAAGACCGTTATCATTTCCCCGCTTAATCTCCTCTGTTCTGAATTAAACATGCCCAGGTCCTTCAGCCTTTGCTCCTATGGCTTGTGTTCCCTCCCTTTGATCATCTTCATCACTCGCCTCTGGGTCCTTTCCGGTTTCTCTACATCCTTTCTTTTTAATTCCCTAGCTCGCGTGTACTGTTTTATAGTCTACTTTTGCTGTCATGCTTTAGTTCTAAACAAACACTTTGCCTTTGGAAGGCTGGCTGGTGGCAGGTAAACCCTGTCATTGCCCCTGGGAGAGAGCAGGACTGCAGGGGCTGACCTAGTCACGCCAGCTGGGATAAGCACAGTGAGTTTAGGCAGGAAATTGCAGCCAAAATCCCTGGCCTGGCAGGAGGGGAACATGAGACACCGCCCTGAGAAAGGTGACAGCCAGAAGCACAGGCACTGAGCTTTACTTTTCCCAGTGGGTGCTCCACCCCCGCTCTGCCCCGAGGCCCTGCCCCCCGAGACCCCACCCTCGCTCTCTCTCTTCCCACCCCACTCTGCCCCCTCCCTGTGGTCCCGCCCCCTCACCCACCGCTTGCTGTTCTCCACCCTCCCCCAAGCGCCTCCCTGAGTGGTGCCGCCAATCATCTGTTTGGCGGTGCCCCGATTAGCTGCTCGGTGGCGCTGCCCAAGTGCTGTGGCTAGTGCATGTTGAGCACCCACTATTTTCCCCATGGGGGCTCCAGCCCCAGAGCACCCACCAAGTCTGCGGTTATGGCTAGAAGCCTGAGATCTGAGTGGGATGCCCTCAAGGAGGCCACAAAGGGGGCAGAGGTGCAATTGCCCCAGCACAGTGATGGGAGTTTGGATGATTGGAGTTCATTTTTTTAAACAGACCCCATGTATTTTAATGGCACCGAGGGTATGTCTACACAGCGAAAAAAAGCCCACGGTGGCGAGTCTCAGAGTCCGGGTCAGTAGACTCAGGCTGTGGGACTGAACATGGCAGTTGAGACATTCAGGCTCGGGCTGGAGCCTGGGCTCGGAAACCCGGCGAGGGGGAGGTTCTCAGAGCCCCGTCTGCACCCCAAGCCTGACCATCTACACTACTATTTGTAGCCCTGCTGCCCAAGTCAGTTGACCAGGGCTCTGAGACTTGCTGCTATGAGACTTTTTGCATTGTAGATGTACCCTAAGACTGGCTGGGATTTGCAAAGGAACCTCAGGGACCTATTACTATTAAAGAGCTTAGTCTAAGTAGGCACCCAAATCCCTTTGAACTCCAATGGGAGGTGAGTGCCTAACTCCCCGAGGCCTCTCGGAAAACCCAGCATGTTCAGTCAACCTAGAGTGCGCTCAGGCAGGGGATTCTCCCAGGAAGTTGGTGGGTAAGGGGACATGAAGCATGAAGCTGAATTATGTATCATTCAACTACCCTTTCCTGGTGGATTCAGAAAGGGCTGGAGTACCTCGCTGTGGCGCTACAGTTTCACCTGGATAATATTTGGGTGAGCAAAACTACGATAATATCCTTGCCCCTCGAACATGAACAGTTTCCCAATATTTAGGGCTTTGTTTGGTTGTTTTCGTTAGGAGGAGAAATTAAGGATCCAGTCAGGTGTTTCTTTGGTGCAGTCCTGTTTAAATACAAAGAACACACACAACGCCCTGTTTGTCTCAGCACAATAGGAACAAAGACCAGTTTCTTTGCTCATAATTCCAAGCCTTCCTTTCCAGCCAGCTCTCTGCCCCAAAGAAGCTTACTCTCTTGGCTTCCTCTCAGGGCTATGCTATGAGCACTTCTCTGGCTCTCTCCTTCTGACACACACAGCTGCAATCCAGTCAAAGACTCAGTCCAGGCATTTTCAATCAGTTTCCAGGGAAACCCCTCTTGTTATCCCTGAGTTAGTTCTTGCTCAGGCCAGTGCTTTGAGTGGTGGCTTCTATTGTTTCAGCTATCTTACTCCATAAAGGAGCTTAGTTGCTTCCTCCATTTAAGCTGAATGAAGGGTAGCTAGCACACCCAGAAGTTTTCAGTGAGATCTATGACTGCCCAGAGAGCAAAGGTACACCTCTGGCAGCTAACCACATGCTGCAGCATAACAATATTTTGCTTTTCTCTAGCCTGTTCCATCCAAGGCTTCCAAAGCTCTCTATAAACACCAACAGAATTGAGCCTCACTGCCCCCTGGGTGAGGGGTCAGTATGATTGTCTGCAATGACTAGTGGGAAAGGTGAGGCACAGGGAAGGGGAGTGACTTGCCCAAAGACACACAATGAGTCAGTGGCAAAGTGGGTACAGAATCCAGATCCCCTGGCTCCCAGCCCTGTGCTCCAACCACTCAACCCTGGTTCCTCTGGAAGTAGCAGTTGATCATTGAGGTGTTTGGGGTCCCCTTCTCTTTTCATGGGAGAAGGTGCCAAGGGTAGGTATGCAGAATGGCAAGGCAAGTGTCCCCCACATTCCTCAACCTTGGTCTGAAGGGACCTGCATTTCAAGTGGTGAGAGGACAGGTCAGCCTCCATGATGCATGGGATCTTGGTGTCTCTGCTGGAGCTGTCACCAAGAAGGCTGACTGAGTTGGTTTCTTCTATGATGCAGATGCTGTTCTTAGAACTAAGAGCACGAAGAAGCTGTCACAAGGAAATGACCCTTGATCGACAGCTTCATTAGATCCAGCGACTTCTAGGTGAATGGTCCCATATCTCCTCTAGTTACTAATGCCCTGAGAAATGCATCCCCCCGGCCTCTTCTCCGTGTAAAGACTGGTGAGTGATTTCAAAGAAAAAGCAGCAGATAAGGTGCTGGGTAGACTCACATCCTTTTCCCTCTGTCACTTGCACCATGCCTTGCAGCAGCGGGATGGAATTGCCCAGTCATAGACCGCAGTCCTTGCACTTCCCTCTTCTGCTTCTCTTGATTCAGCAGACTTTGTTCCATTGTATCACCACTGTCTTATCATGGCATTTCCTGGGAGGTGACAGCGTTGACACCATCGCTCAGTGTCCCCCCCTATAAAAAGAGGGGAGAATCCAGGGTCCGGTATCAGCTGCACAAGGAAGCTAAGAAGAAATCCCATCTCTGGTTCTGCACCTGCAGCTCGTCCCCACCTGACAGCAACATGAAGGTCTCTGTGGCTGCCCTCACTGTTCTCCTCATCGCTGCCTTCTGCTTGCAGGCCTCAACAGCTGGTCCACGTGAGTCCAAGATCCGTCTGTGGAGCGGTGACCTCTCTCCCCTCCATCTCCCCAGGCTAGCGAGACAGTGACAGCGGGCAATGCCTGGGCACACACTCCTTCTGAGCTTTCATTGCCGGTAGGGAGAGGCAGGCTTGCCCCTTCTCTCTGCCTTACTGAAGGATGAAGCTGTGATGTGAGGTAGCCCCCACACCAGACAGCTCAGAGATCTCTCTGGGAACCTCCCTCAGAGCTAGGTGTTAGCAGGAGCCCCTTTGCACCTACAGGGAGGGAGCTCTCCAAGCCATCGATGAGAAAGACCAACCATGATTCTCTTGTCTTCTCTTTCAGAGGCACTCCACTCCCCAAGTGTCTGCTGCTACGGATACTCTCCCAACCCAATTTCACGGAGCCGCGTGGTGAAGTATGAATACACCAGCAGCAGCTGCTTCCAGCCGGCTGTGATGTGAGTATAATACCCAGCCAGATACCATATTCTCCAGGAGACCCCACCCCATCCCACAGGAAAGTTCCTCCTGGGGCACCAAGTAATTTGGGATATTATTAGCACAGCCTGTGAGAGAGACAGTCCTGAGCCCTCAGCTAGTTTTACGGTTCTCTCAATTAGAAACAGGCTAGGCTCAAGGGGGTTTTCAGCCCTCCGCCCCACCCCAGATGTTGAGTCCATACGGCTATAGTGCAGTGTCGCAGCTGGGGAAGCAGTGGTGGGAACTGGAGGGTGGATTTCCTCCTCTGACTGGCTGCGAGAAGCTTTTGGTGAAATTCAGCCAATTGCAGTGAAACTCTTCCTGAGCGTTATGAATAAGCTGGTTTCTGATTGGCTGAAGATTTTTGAAAAACCTGTTAGTAGTGAATAGTGGGTGGACACCCAGCAATCCAATGGGCCAGCAGAGCTGCCATTAGCTATGGGCCGTTGTGTCCTTAGGACCATTCGTCCCCTTTGCAGTAGCAGAGTGTTTGCTCTGAAAACAGGACCCATTTTCCTCCGCCGCCCTTGAGAGCTGGTACCAGGCGTTTCTAACTGGGGTTTTCTCTCTGCAGCTTCACAACCATCAAAGGCAAAACGTTATGCACCAATCCAGATGAGAAATGGGTCCAGGATATTGTGACTCAGCTGAGAGCCAGGGAAGCCGTTTCAAGGGCACCCTGAGCCTAGGGTCTGACATCACTTCCTGCCAAGCATCTTCCCAAACGGATTTCCAGGAAGCACTTTACCTCCTCTCAGCCTTTGAATCCTTACGGGCTATTTGTCCCAATTAGCGTTGAACTGTGAAAGATGGCCCTGAATTGTACTTAAGGGAATTTTAATGGCTCTGAATTGTATTTAAGGGAATTTTAATGTATTTGTCATGTGAATCGTGAAATATTTCATTCTCCTTTGTATTTGTTGGGTTTAAGTTTTATTTATTTTACAAAAAAAGAAAAATAAAACAAAAAATGGAAACTCTTGGGCTAATTCTCCTGCTGCAGGCATCCTGTCTGTCTTTTCTATTCAGACCTCAAGCCTGCAAACACGTGCTTAACTCGACAGCACTCATCCCATTGGAGTCAGTGGGACGACACATGCTTAAAGCTACGCAAATGCCATGTGTTTGCGGGATCAGGACCTTAGACTGGAGGTTCTTTTGGGTGGGGGTGGGGGTGTGTCTTACTCTGTTGTTTATACAGCACCTAGCACAAGAGGGCGCCTAACCAGATCAGGGTCTCGAGGCACTACTGTGGTATGAGTAAATCCTAGGCATTAAGGCTGCTATTGAAGGCTTCTGAGGGTGCCCTGGCTAGTAAATCTTTCTGCACACAAACAGCTGGACGCCTTTCTCTCTGGCTGGGAGGCGGGCGCCCGTGCAGCAGGCTGGGGCTGGAGCTGGAGCTGCACTGTGGAGTCTCCGTTTGAGCACTGGGTGGGTTTATGGTTACATGGGAGGGAGCACACATTGCAACTGAGAAGCAGAATTAATGGGACACAAGACAGAGGAGAAGGAGGGGAAGGGGCAGGACAGGATGAGGAGCGGCACTGTGCTGTCAATATTTAACTCTTGCTAAGATTCATTCGGGTGCTGGCGCTGCAGAGGGGAGAGATTGCTGAATGTAGGCATGCATCCGATGGAGTGAGCTGTAGCTCATGAAAGCTCATGCTCAAATAAATTGGTTAGTCTCTAAGGTGCCTCAAGTCCTCCTTTTCTTTTTGCGGATACAGACTAACACGGCTGTTACTCTGAAACCTGAATGTAGTTGTTTGTTTCCCTAATTCAGGAAAATTGCTGTCTTATTGCTAGGATGGGAGCAGCCCTACAGGGCAAAACAACTTAGCAACAGGGCACTTTGAATGAGGATTTAGCAGGTAGCGTTCACTATGATTTGAGTTTGCTCTTTCTTTGAGCAATTCTTGTCAAAGTGGATTAGTTCTGTTTATACAGGATCGGGTTTCAGTAGGAAATTCGGCTCATTCTGAGGCAGCAGCAACCTGTGCATCATTCCATGGAGTTCATATAGAGCAGCGGCTGTTTCTGGTGGTACTGATCTATTTCCCTTCCTGCTAGGTGTAGCTCCTTAACCAATTTACATCCCACCTGTAGATCCTGGCTTGGCAGCGTCCATTCCCCCACGTAGATGCAAGGTGGCACTACGAGACAAGAGGGTGTTTTAAACCAGCTTTCCAGTGGTTTGTGATCTTTTACCACAGGAATCTGGTCTTTCCTCTCTTTCCATTGAGAGCCAGAGGCCATTACCAGCATCTCCTCTTCGACCTGGTGGTAGCTTCTTTGTCTCAGATCTGCGAAGGGACTTAGGCGTTGCAATGCTCAGCATCATGGCACCTCCCTTATAGTCACCCAGAAACATCTCAGGAACAACATTGCAATCCACAAGCCCTACGTTGGACACTCAGGCTCCCTGTGCCATGAGGGGGAGAGAGACACACCTTGCCTGTGGGCTGCAGGACCCAGCACACTAGGCAGGGAGTTCCCTACACTAGCCACCGGGAGATGCTGATCAGAGTTAAGCACCTGTGTCCGGGCTGCAGGGAGGCTCTAGCTGTAGTGAGCGATCCATGAATGGGAACCAGGTGGCTCAGGCGCCGAAGTAGTTTCTTGCGGGAACGAGTGAGGCCCCTGCCTCGCTCCACACAAAGCGGCTAGAGGAGGAGGCCAGCACGCCACACCTGTTAGTCCAGTGGTTAGAGCCCTCACCTGGGAAGGGGGGAGACCCAGGTCCAATTCCCCTCTCGGCCGGAGCAGGACAAACAATTTGAACAAGGGTCTCCTACCTCTCAGGTGGGTGGGCTAACCACTGGGCTATGGGACACTCTGATGGGGGGTGTCAGTCCATCCATCCATCTCTCCTGTTGAAGCTGTTCCACTGTGGATATATAATGAAAAAATTACTGGAGCAGAGAGATGGAGCCCTGGGTCTTCCACCTCCTACGTGGGTACCCTAACCATCATGCTATACAGTCTCTCTCTCTCACCTGCTTACTTTTTAAGTATTTGGTGACCATACCTACTATGGGTCCCAGCTGCCAAATTCAGGGCAGACTGCAAGAAACAGGGCAGACACCCCCCCAAGCTGGGGTTATTCTCACATTAGAATTCACCAAGCCAGCAACCAAAGTGAGCTCTTGTATCACCACTCTGGTGAACAAGACACTAAAAAGACAGTCCCCTTAGGCAATCCAGGCCCTGTCACCACCCAGGCAGCTGGTCTTCATGGTGAAAGGTTACTGAAAACCAGATTCACTATACATAAAGTTCTTCTAATCCCAAAGGATCAGCCACTCCCCCAGGTCAATGTATATATACCTACTTTAGATCTTACCAAAGGCCATGTTTGTAGTCAATCCTTTAGTAACTAAAAGCTAAAGGTTTATTATTAAAAAGAAAAGAAGAGAATAATTCAGTGGTTAAAGGAATCATACCTGACAAGTGATTTCAGAATCTTGTAGATCTGGTTCACAGCAGGGATGGAAGTCTGCTAGTCTCTCTGGTTCACCCAAACGGATTGGGGGTCCATTGTCCAAAGCTTCCGTTTGTGAGAAAATCACAGTCGAGAGGTGAGGAGCAGGCCTGGAGACAAAGCAGTGATGTCACAGTCTCCTTTTATACTTTCAGCCGAAGTGCCTGGAAAGTTACTGGCCAAAGATGGAGTCTTGGATCACATGTCCTAACATGCCTTGCTGAGTCCTGGGGCAGACATTGCCTGAAATGTCTCCAAGAGAGGCTCACTGGCCCAGCTGATTGTAGTAATGGCCCATCAACCCAGGGATGTCTAGTCTGGATGTAAATTTGCCTGGTGGGTGTCACCCCTGAACAAATCATAGCTGAGATACAAACACCTAGCCAATACTCATCCTCAGATACAAGGGCAATACATGGATTTAAACAGGATAATCACACTGGACAGTTTATAACTTGTCCATTGACATACCTTGTACAAGATTTATTGCACCTTTGTAACAGTGGGGACTGGATCTGTGTAACTAGTTATCTTCCATTTTACCCAGCATCACATATTTATCCAAAGTGGAACAGCTTCACCAGGAGAGACTGAGGCAGCTGAGGGGGAGTTTTGGGGATCACAGTAGTGCCTAAATCTGGGATTTAGGTGCCTAACTCCTAAATCTTGGGTTTAGGCACCTAAATCCCTCTGTGGCTCTGGGCCTTAGCGCCCACACAGAATAGATTTTGCTTAATAGCTTATCATCCCACTCTCCCCATCCCTGTTGATCCTGTGAAGAGGGCACTTCGGCTATTGATTTTATTTCATCTGCTTCATCGGTTGATCATGCTCAGTTTATGTCCAATGCAGAAAATTTTTATACGACCAATTTTTGACTTTTAAGTAGAATGTTACGTGTCGTTGTCTCATTCTCTGCAATCCCACAGACACTGGTCACTGTGTAGTGTGTGGTCCCTCGCTCACATTATGATGTTATCCATTCTCATTGCAGCATCACCCTTAAAAATCAGAGTAAATCACTTTTCGAAACACTTTGGAAGCCCAATAATTACCTAAAAGCATTCGCCGACACCTACAGGACTACATCCTCAGCCAGTGTAAATCAGCCCAGCTGACTTGTCTTCAGTGGAGGGATGCTGATGTACACCATCTGAGGTTCTGGCTCGTAACATTAAAGTGGTTAATTAAAATACACTAATTGGAGCTTGACCAGTCTAACTTCATTTGCAGAATGCTGGTTCTTTGTTTGATACCCAGCATGTCTTTTCTTATCTGCCACCCCTTGCTTCAATAATTTTCCCTGACTAATTCCCACGTTGTATTTAAATCACAGGGATAGAGTCATAGCCTGACCTCATTCAGCTTTTCAGTTATAGCCACATGACTAACTTAGTGCACAGATGTGCTACCATCTCACCCGTTCCCAAATTGCTCATATTATCAAGATTACTTTAAAAAAGAATGCATCCCTCAGGGCAAATGAAATTTTCCTGTCTGGCTGGGTCACTGGAATCAGCCACACGTGTGTCGTAAGGCAGCATCCTCCTTCCAGGCACTGTGAGCCCCGCTCTGAGATCTCTGAGTGCAGCTCTGTGGCACTGACAGCCAACTCTGCTCTAACTAGTGCTCTGGCTGGCCAGGTCTCTGGTCTGAGCACCACTGGCTGTCAGAGAGAATTGTAACAGCTCACCAGGTGCTGGAGCTAGCTCACGGTTTTAGCATAGTCCCGCCCGCACCAGTAACGTGACTCCTCCCCTGCGCAATGGGAAAGTGAATGTGACCCGGAAACTGCCTCACAGCAGCTGCCACCATGGCCTTGGTGAACCCGCTGGAGAAGCTGCAGGAGGAGGCAATTTGCTCCATCTGCCTGGAGTACATGAGTGACCCCGTGAGCATAGACTGTGGGCACAACTTCTGCCGGGCATGCATCACCACCTACTGCCAGGAGAAGGGGCTCGGGCCAGCGGGCCCGTGTCCTGCCCCCAGTGCCGGGCGGCCTTTCACAAGAGCAATGTCAGGCCCAACAAGCAGCTGGCCAATATCGTGGAGACCATCAAGCAGCTGGGGCTGCTGCCGGCCAAGGGGCAGCCAGAGGCGCTCTGCGGGAAACACGAGGAGAAGCTCAAGCTCTTCTGTGAAGAAGACGGGGAGGCCATCTGTGTGGTGTGTCGAGAGACCCTGTCACACTGGCCTCACAATGTCTACCCCACTGAGGAGGCGGCCCAGGTGTACAAGGTAGAGGGGTGCTGGGCTGAGGGTCTCCAACTCTCCAGGGGTGTCCTGGAGTCTCCAGGAATTAAAGATTATGTCATGGGATGAAACATCCAGGAATACGGCCAACCAAGATTGACAGCTCGAGCTGTGCTGGAAGAGCTCTCCCAGGACAGCAAGGTCCCCACTTAATCCACAGCTTCCCCAACACACCCCTC